GCCTAGCAAGAGCAAGGCTGGGCATTTGAACTCCAGTACCATTAAAAACAAACAAACAGGGCTAGGAATGCGGCTTAGTGGTAGAACACTTGCCTAACATGCCTGAAGCCCTAGGTTCCATTCCTCAGTACCACATAAACAGAAAAAGCCTGGAAGTGGTGCTCAAGTGGTAGAGTGGTAGAGTGCTAGCCCTGAGCAAAAGAAGCTCAAGGATAGTGCCTAGGCCCTTGAGTTCAAGCCCCAGGACTGGCAACAAAAAAGAAATAATAATAAATAAATAAAATAAAAAAACACTCCATCTCCATTTTCTAAGCTTATAAATGCCTAAATTTCCTAAAGAAACTGCTGAAAGTGTGAACTTAAAGTGAAAGATCAGGATAGGGACTGGGAATGTGGTTTAGTGGTAGAGTGCTTGCCTAGCATGCATGAAGCTCTGGGTTCAATTCCTCAGTGCCACATAAACAAGAAAAGGCTTGAAGTGGTGCTATGACTAGTGGTAGAGTGCTAGCCTCGAGCATAGAGAGGCTCAGGGACAGTACCTAGGTCTGAGTTTCAAGCTCCAGGACTGGCAAAAAGAAAAAGAAAAGAAAAAATAAGAGAAGAGAAGCGAAGTGAAGCGAAGAGAAACGAAGCGAAGAGGAAGGGAAGGGAAGGGAAGGGAAGGAGGGAGGGAGGGAGGGAGGGAAAGAAGAAAGAAAGAAAGAAAGGAAAGGGAAAAAAGAAAGGGAAGGGAAGGGAAGGGGAGGGAGAGGAAGGGAGGAAGGGAGGGAGGAAGGGAGGGAGGGAGGGAAGGAAGAAAGAAAAATGAAAGAAGAAAGGGAGAAAATAAAGGAAAGATAGATGAGGATAAACAAACAACTTTGTGGGGGTTTTGTTTTGCTTTGTTTTGAATGGTGAAACCATTGGTAAACAGTGCATTTAGTGGAGATTATTAAACTTTCAGGCTGAGCATGCTCCCTACTGTACTGTGGCAATTGATTAGCAGTGGACAAACAAAATGAGCTGTGGGGACAGGTTACCTAGTAACCACTGAATGATTAAGTGCTGTTTCCAAGAGACTTGTTCTTTTAATTGGATGAAAAGATTTAAGCAACACAGCTGGTAAGAAACAGAGATGGACAACTGTGGTAATTATTACTAGTCCTAATATCTGTGCTCTCAGGCACTTTAGGTAGAGAGTCCCAATATGAGTGAGTCTTCTATTGGTAACAAAAAAAGCCAAATTAAACGACAAGAGCACAATTTTGTGCTCCTTTCCAGTGTAGAATTAAGCAAATTAGAATGAAATGAAAACTCTATGTGGCTGTATACTTCCGAGAATGGCTATGGACAAGATTCTATTTGTGTTCAGAAATCAGAATTCTGTTTCCTCTGAGAACTCAGAATAATCATTTGGGGTCAGTATAACCTATTATCTCTCTCTTTGGTCTACCTGTTCTCCCATTAGACACATATTGCTTTACAGAGAATTATAGTCATTTGTATTCTCTCTTGCCTTTAACAATAAAATTAAGAAAAATCAAATTATAGGTTGACAATGATAAACATTGTTTTTATCTATTAAGGACCTTTAGACAATGAAGCAATTTTTTCCTGTGCTTGAAAAAGAATTTGGAATATATGTCATTAAATATAATTGGAGGCGCTCTATTTTGGAGTCAATTTTTAAATGTCTATTGCACCTTATATCCTTGAATAAGATTTGCATTGTCTCATAGAGGTGGAGTTCAAACCTTTCCTAAAGCCCCCTCTAGTGACAAGCAGCAAAGCAAGCCATTATTTCAAAATACAATACCAATAAGCACTAATTTTCTATTTTCTAATTTGTGTTATTAAATAAATCACCCCTACAGTATTTTTGATGATTAAGTCACAAGCTCAAAATTTTCAATCATTCTTTAGTCACCAAAATCTAAAGGGTTTTGAGTCTGAGATCAACAGAATGTGCACACACAATTTAATTCTATCCATTCTATTCTGCTTTCATAGATATCTTCAGAAAATCCCACGAATTTCCTTCATTTTTTTTTCTTTTGGGGATTTTAGGATTAAAACACATTTATAACAATTCAATGAAAAGAAAAACATAATCTTTGTCTTTTGCTTCTTCTTGCTTTTACTGCATTTGTTAGAGTCTTTTCAATGATGGTCCTAGGCATGTCCAAGAATTCCAAGAATAGCCTGCATTATAAAATCAAGAATCATCTGTAAACACAGAGATTAAATGAATAAAAGTAATAACAACATGGAGCTTAAAATAATAAAATGAATTATATATATTAAATACTGCATGTTAATACTGCATATTAAAATATAAAATATTTTTGTTCTGCAGACCATGTTATATCATGCGCAATATACATTATCTTATTTATACTCCCACTCCAAATGACTTAGAACATATCTGAGAGGTCTAATTGAATCATTAAAAGAATATAGAAGTGACATTATGGTTCAAGTGGTACAGGGACAGTGCCCAGGCTCCGAGTTCAAGCCACAGGACTAGCAAAAACAAAAAACAAAAAAAGTAAAAAATAAAAATAAAAGCTGCATTCCCAGTAAAGGGAATGAAAAAGATAAAAGAAATAGTAAGCCAGGTGCCAGTGGTTTATACCTGTAATCCTAGCTACTCTGGATGCTAAGATCTGAGGATCATGGTTCAAAGCCAGCCCAGGCAGGAAAAGTCCATGAGATCTTTTCTCCAATAAACTACCAGAAAACCGGAAGTGGTGGTGTGGCTCAAGTGGTAGAGCGCTAGCGTTGAGTTACAGAGCTGAGGGACAGTGCCCAGGCCCAGAGTTCAAACCCACAACCAACAAAAAAAAGAAAAGAAAAAAAAATACTGTAGTGGCTGATAAGTATATCACAACTAAACACAAATCTTAGTTTTGAGCTCATTTTCAACTAAGACAAAAAAAAGAAACCCAGTCTTTCATATGCTAATTCTTTAGGTAGATACGTATGTTTCTTCTAAAAGGTATGTCAATTTCTAAACATCAATAGCAAAAAATATATTGGAATGATTTCTGAACATGAAAGATATGTTTATATATCAAGAAAAGGTCTTCAGAATGTTTCTTCTCAAGACCATTGCAACTCGTGGTATTCCTCAATGGAAGAATACTCTTGGGAACTTACTTGGCACACCAAGCTGGGTGCATGGGCTTAAGATCATAGCTTTTGCTGGGCTCATGCCTGCAATCCTAGCTATTAAGGAGGCTGAGATCTAGGACCATAGTTGAAAGCCAGCTCAGGCAGGAAAATCCATGAGACTCTGATTTCCAATTCACCACCAGAAAACTGAGAGTGGTACTGTGGCTCAAAGTGGTAGAGCAGTAGTCTTGGTGGGGGATGTTGGTTGTGGGGCTTGAACTCTGGGCTGGGGTACTATCCCTCAGCTCTTCAGCTCAAGGCTAGTGCTCTACCACTTGAGCCACAGTGCCACTTCTGGTTTTCTGAGTAGTTTATTGGAGATAAGTGTCTCATGGACTTTCCTGGCTGGGCTGGACGGGCTGGCTTTGAACCTTGATCCTCAGATTAGTGTGGTAGTCTTGAGTGAAAAAGCTCAGGGACAGCACCCAGGCCATGAATTCAACGCCCAGGGGCCCCCACCAAAAAAAAAAAAAAAAAGATCTCCTGAGAATAGCCATACATAGAGAAAAGCAAAAAATAAAAAAATAAATTAAAAGCTACCTCCAGTGGCTCATGCCTATAATCCTAACTACTCAGGAAGCTGAGATCTAAAGATCTAGCCAGCCCAGACAGGAAGTCTGGGAGACTTTTATCTCCAAATAATCACCAGAAAATTGGAAACTGTACTGTGACTCAAAGTGGTAGAGCCCTAGCCTTGAGGGGAAAATAAAAATCTTAGGGACAGTCCCCAGACATTGCTTTAAAGTCTCACAACCAAAAAAAATTAAATTGCACTCACAATATGCTGCTAAGATTGAGAAAAATAAGTCCTACTGCACACACATTAGTGAAAGTGGAACAAAATACTACTTTGAAGGGAAATAATGAAATAAAGATGGTTTTGCAGAAGTTGAACAGCAGACAATGCTGTCTTCAGAACTCTTCCTGTTCTCCTGTACTTCCCCAATCATGAAGTCCTTTTCCTACTTCAAAACAAATATCTTAGTCCCAAATCTATTTTTATAAGAGTTAGCCTCACTTTCACCTGAATCAAATTATTGTTTTACCTTCCCCCACCTCTCCACCCCCCGTTTACCCTTTAGGCTTTAGCTCTAATCCAATTTAACAAATGCTTATGGGAAGTCTGTTATAGGCAAGCTTTTTTTTTAGTTGCTAATAATGGAATAAAAAAATGACTTCATATCCTAGAAAGGAACTTCAAGTGATGGTGAATAGGAGAAATATGTTTCTGAGTATCTCTCTATCCCTGGATCCTCTAAAATGTATTGGGAGCCACAGGGCCATCACATCTACTTCCCCACTCCTTAAATTCTGAATCTACTTTTTTTTTCTCTATCTGGTTTATTCCTCTTTCCTTGATAGAGGGTAGTTCTGAGTTACTCCCTTACACCGGAATCCCTTGATGCTCAGCTCCTCTGAGAAGTTTTAGAAAAGAGAATACTTGTAGGACACTTCCTTTCTTACATAGACTGCTCTTATCAGACCATAACTACAAAATCAGTGGCATTGGAGAAAAGAGGTTCAGAGAGATTTAGAATCTACTTAAAGCTCTGACTTGTAAGCAGCGGGAAACACAAGCAAGCCCCACCCGTCTGTCTCCAAAACCAGTACTCTTCACTACAAGACTCATTCTCAATCCAGGTGTGACCCCCCCCCCACTCCCACTCCCCAGGCAACTCTTGGCAGGTGCAGAGGCTTTAAGTCACGACAAGGGGTGGGGTGAGTGGGCTGCCCCCCCCCACACACACACAGAGAATTGCACATCGGCCTAAAAGGTGAAGAAGTCCTACAGGACAGCAGGTTCTCGGCCCGAGTCCCAGCTTCTCTCCAAGCATTCATAACTCGACATGGCAGAGAGCCGCGAAGAGCTCGCCCCTGAGCACAGGGCAGCTCTCCCTGGCCGCAGGAAGCGGACCGAGGCCTTCAGAGCCGCGAGGCCGCCGGGCAGCTCGGGAAGCCGCTCGGAGGCTGCGCGGCGACGCCGGGCGCAGCGGCCGCTTCTCCCCATCCAAAGGCCGACGGAGGGCTTGAAGTGAGCGGGGTCTGGGCCCGGCCTCGCACGACACCGGCCTGCTGGGCTTTAGCCAGAGGAAAGCGTGTCCGCAGGGACAAGGCCCGCTCAGGGGCTGGTGACCTGGAGTCGGACAGGAGTTCGCTCGGCGGAGGACTGGCAGCGTCCCCGAGCCACGGGGGGGGG